TGGTGATCACATAGGTGAGAATTAGAGTATTAGAGAATTTGGAGAATAAAGCTCATTTAAGAGCAGTCTGTCAGATCAAGAACTGGTGGACCCAGGGACTTACTTGCTCAGTGGCAGAAATGGACCCAACTTTCCTTACTCCCTAGTTTATTTGCCTGTGACAAATGTAGAAGTCAGATAAAGTAATCTCTGCAATTTTTCTACCTCTAAATTCAAGTGATTTCAGCAGACATGTTCTTCATTTTCTCCATCTTTCATAGTTACTTATTTAAGGATTTTTTCTGATGTTTATTTATTTTTGAGATGGAAAGAGACAGAGAGAGAGACACAGAATCTGAAGCAAGCTCCAGGCTCTGAGCAGTCAGCACAGAGCCTGACGTGGGGTGAACCCATGAACCGTGAGGTCATGACCTGAGCTGAAGTCAAATGCTTAACTGACTGAGCCACTCAGTCACTCCCACCTTGTTATTAAGGATTTTTTTTAATGTTTCCTACAATTACTTCTTTACCTTGTTCCTCCTGTATACCAGCTCTCCAATGGGATGCTTGTAGATATTTTTAGAAATTCAGCTCGATATTATTATAAGAAAACTTTAAATGTTAATGTGATTAATTTCAAATAATTAAACAATTGAAACTTTGCTATGGTTTTGACAAGCTTTTATTATTAATGATATTTAAATATTTTCATGTTTTGGAAAGAGCAAATTGTCTTAGTCGTAGCTCTCGATAGAGTTTATTACTGAGATTTTATTATTAAACAATGCCATTGTTTAGTCAAGATTTCTTTTAAGTTCCAGTTAGTTAATTCCAGTTAGTTAGGTCCAGACAGTGTAATATGAGTTTATTAGTGCTGTTCTGAAGATGATTACTTATCATTAGTTCTGCTTTAAAACTAGGATGTGCCATGTATATGTGCACACGAGCATGGGAATGTGTGTGTGTGTGTGTGCAGGAGTGTGCATGGGCCTGTGTATTTTATCTTTTGTCATTTATTGTGAGTATGTCAGCTCATATATGTTTCTGTTCTGTTTGCATGTACCCTTTATGGTTTTTTTTCCTACAGACAAGGAAGCTTTCTGCAAAGAGAAAATTTTTATTTTTGAATCTTGCAAGAATTTGATACAGGTTACCACTTCAGTTCCATCCAGTATGTATTATTCATAAACTGATAGCTTCTGATAGTCTCAGAGATACTCTGCTGGCCTCTGATGGGAAAATGCCACCTCCTTTTTTCCTAATAATAGACTTTTCCTTTATCTCACATGAAGGAATGGAAAGCAGATACGTCCATTCCAAAGAAGGAGGCTAATTTCCATCTGCAGAAAATAAATGTTTTATTTCTACTCAACAAAACATTTGTTTCTCTCACTAATAAAAACTATTTTTAAATTTTTGTGCCTACAATATGAAAATACTGGAAAATTTCAAATAAGTTGATAGAATTCTTAGTTATTAAATTTATTATGCAGACATTCTGAGTATTTAAAAACCTCATTCTCCTCCCTTGTCTCTTTCGGATTTTCCTTGTTCAACCTATTTGTACTTTATTGTCCTAAGAGGAGAAAGGGAAAGTGAAAATATAATCATGTTTGCTAATAGCTTTTTTCTCTAGTTTGATGACTTTCATACATAAGAAGCCCAGAATATATTTGTGGAATTTGTCTTTTATGATGTTGCTATTTCTCATGAACAGATAATCAGAAATCACATTCACTTTAATGAGAAGAGTATATTTACTTCTTTTGAAACAACTGTTTTTAAAATAACCATCCTTATCACTACTCCTTAGATAGCTTAAGATATTAATTTAAATAAATAGCTTTCTTTGTCTGCCTGATGTAAATTGTGTGCATAATTTTAAGTATTCCAATATTAACTGAAATTTTCTCTTTTCATATGATTATTTGACATATGGAGGCACAGTTTTCTATGCTACTTTGCTGGCTGTGATAACTTTGCTGCTTTTAGTTACTATGTCGATTTTGATTAGTCCAGTTTTGAATTTTAGCTCAAATTATATTGATATATATTTGATATTATATATAGATATATATTTGAAATAACATTTGGTATATATTTGATATATATACTGATATATATATATTTCAAATATATGTATAATATATAGTATATACAGACTAACAGTGTATTTTTATTACTCTTAAACTTCATGTGACATTGATTATACTAGACACATCAGATGTGGAGATGAAGGCAGGAAACATCAATCAACAGGGAAGCTGGAAAATAGTACTATGGATACTTAGATAATAATGACCATATAAAATCTTCTTTCTCCTCTTTCTCTTCTTTCCCTCCTTCTTCTTTTTCCTATAGAAATTGTTTTTAAATTATTAATTATATTTGCCAAACAATATAAATATGAAAATTGACTACAAAAAAATGAAACTATTCAATGTAATCAATTTCACTTTCAACTTAATTTCTCTTAAATTACCATTGCCACAATTATTGTGGTAATATTATGTTCTAATATTATTCTATCATATTATATCCTATCAAATCTAAAGGAAATAATTCTTAGAAATAAAACCTAGTGATTTGAGATTTCCACTAGAATATTGTTAAAATGTTAGAAATATTTTATGTATTGGAATATTTTTATTATAAAATAACTGTGGACTTAAAAATAAATAATAACTTGTATTCAGGTTTGTATTTTAACATTTTTATATCTCTCATGAATGGTAATTCAAACAACTCCTGATAAAAAGATAATTCCAGCAGTCCCTGCTACCATAAGGTTTGTCACTGAGCAGTTAATCGGTCTACCAGTCAGTTGTAAATGTGAACTCATTTTTTCTAAACTAATTTGCTTACAGTCATTAGATTTCCAAAGAAGTCTCAGAAATCTGGTTGACCTAGGCTCAGTCAGTTAAGTGTCCAACTCTTGATCTTGGCTCAGATCATGCTCTCACGGTTGTGAGACTGAGCCCCACACTGGTCTCTGCATGGGGCATGGAGCCTGCTTAAGATTCTCTCTCCCTCTCTCTTTGCCCATCTCTTGTGCATGCCCTATCTCTCTCTCTCTCTCTCTCTCTCTCTCTCTCTGTGTGTTTCTTTCTCAGAATAAATGCATAAACTTAAAAAAATGTCTGGTTGATGTATAGTACAACTAAAGTTCACTCTGTCACATTTTATTTTAAGTACACCAAACATTCATTATTTAAACATTCTCATGGAAATATGTATCTATTTTAGAGTAAATAATTCTGGCACTAGAAATTTTAAATTGGTTATTTCCATTTAACAAAGATGAAGTGAATTTCTACACACACACACACACACACACACATCTTAATTAAAGAGTCTCTGGAAAGTTACATTAAAATAGTAAATGTAAATCATTTACTGCTTGACCATCTGAATTGGAAAATGCAAGTAGCTGACACCATGGTAAAAAGTACGTGTGGCCTGCCATCCCTCTGTTTTGCATAAGTCATTCATAACTCAGAAACTATCATTTTCACTGTTGACACAATTAAGAACGGGCTTTGAAATGATTATAACTTTCTCTAAAATTAATTTTACAAGGCTAATTCTGTATTAACGTCTGATTTCTTATACATGTTGGTGAGCTGTTAGAGAACAATTTTCTTTATTCTACTTTTTTTTTTTTTTTTTTGCTTAGGCTACTTAGTAAGAAAAGTGTAGTGGAGGTGTTAAAGATAGAGAGCACATAAAGCACAAGTATATTGATTATATATTCTTTAGAACATTGGGACTGCCCATATGCATTTTGAGTGCTCTAATATTACCAATACATGAATATATCCCCGAAGCATGTGTGTGCTATGTTATGTAATCAGTCTCCAAAAGTGAAAAAATAGATGCATCCTTAAAAATTACTTTCAGATTCTTTGATAAAAATGTTTTTCCTAAGCCCATTTCCATAAGGTGAATATTGATTTGATAAAAAAGCAAAAATAGCTTTAGCTCTCTGGGTGCCACCAAGAGCTCACACATTCTCACAAGAAAAATCAGTTGATGGTATAAATTATGAATTCAGCCAACCTCTGATATAACTGTCATGTGTCCTTTTGTTCTCCATGCTGTGGGAGTGATGAAAGTCTGAGTGGTGTGTCATCATCTGTGTGTGTCACGAGCAATCTGCCAATTTTGACTTTAATGGACAAGCCAGCCATGGAATGACAGCTGAGTGACATAGTATGGTGGCTGATGCCTCTCACTGGATTGACTGCCTGCTAATCTAGTTTGGCTTTTTTCCCTGTAGTGAATTTTTTGGCTATTTCTTAAAGATCATATTTCCTCATTCTAACCTTTGCTTCTAGCACACTAAAAGCTTTCCAGGGTATTACTTATTAATAAACTGGTCTACTGGAGTAGATTTGTTTAAAATATATGTTGTTACTTCTTTAGGATAATCTAATTATATCTTTTGTTTTGTCATGTCTTGGACTGTTATGAAGTGTACAGATTCATTAGTGCTAACCATTATGGCAAAGTTAACCAAAAAATCAACTTAAGTAGGTATACTGAGTAGTTATATTTTTTAAGTGATTATACACAAGTTTTGGAACCTTGTTTAGCCTCTGTACACCGTGCCTAACATATTGAAGAATTTCCCTCTACTTAAATACCAGTTCTTACATTTATTCAAACTCCTCACAATTTTAACTTTATTTTTAAAAATTGGTAATAAGTGTTTAAGATTATTTGGAGAAAGATCCATTCATTTCTTCTCTCCTACTCAAAACTCCTACTCCAGTATAGGAGTGAAAGAGGCTACACGTTGTCATGCTACAGCCAATAGTCTTAGACACTCAATTCATGGTTCGAGGCTCCTGAATAAGGAGTGGGTAAAAGTAAGACACTATCCTTTTTTTTTTTTTTTTTTATGTTGGGAACAAAGAAAGCTGTGACTTTGCCAGTGTTAACCACAACTAAAAGACTCTCCTTTGATATCCTTTGTTTTGAAAGCTACTTACTAAAGTGTGGGGTTATCTTTTCACTAGACAAAGATGAATGCTCTAAGGATAATGGCGGGTGTCAACATGAGTGCGTCAACACGATGGGAAGCTATATGTGTCAGTGCCGTAATGGATTTGTGCTGCATGAAAATAAACATGACTGCAAGGAAGGTACGAAAAGAGTGTCTTTTCTTGACGACATCCAGAATTTCATGCAGTTTGGTAAAGCATTGCTTCCAAGTAGAGTTAATCATTTTAATGAGTAATATCATTGTTGACTATTCAAATGTCAAAAAAAAATATGTATGGTGTTCAGATACAAGGCCTACTAATGGAAACCTCATAATATCTAAAAGTTCTGCACTTCACACATGGATGGCATTAGAATAACTTTGTATAAACAGATATAGAAGTGACTGTGATGCCATCTGGCAGCCAGAAAGGTGCCACGTTATCCCCAGGTCCTTGTAGAACAGACCCTGTAACAGTCTCCACTTTTAAACTTAACTTCTGCTAAATGTTTTGCATTTGGTTTAATTTCCCTCCCCAAAATATCTCATATATGTGCTACATGAGTGATGGCACTTTAAATACCAGGAGTATCGAACTCAAATGCCTACCAGAGGAAAGACATTTGAAAAAGTCACGGTTTTGGCCAAAAAAAATAAAATAAAATACCCAACATTCTAATAGCACAATAGTAGTCTATTCGGTTTTGGCCCCGAGGCTTTAAAATACTCTAATTTTATAAAAAAAATTATCTTTATCTCCTTAGCCAGTATGAGCTAGATGGGAACAAGAAATAGTTATTCAGTTCTTGTTTCATCCTTGCAGGGTCTGCTCCTGAATTTCTACTTAAATTGGATTTATGCCCATTTTGAAAGAATTACCATGGCAGATTTTATAACATTAGTTATTAGCACATGCAGATCGGTAGGTCCCTGGCTAGAATCACAGTTAGTTAGCAGCTCTTTGTATGATCATTGGAATAGTACAGGATATCCTGAATTGAACCTTTTTCCATTCAGTTCCTTTCAGATATTGTCACGTCAGGGTTATTTTTTCTGCTTTTTCCTTGAGCTAATGATATTACCCAGAATCATATGCAAGCAATATTTTTCCCTCTTTTTACTTTTTTATATGAGGATATATCCATGAAGACTGTGATATTTGTAACTGAGTCAAGTATTTTGTTAAATAAACGGACTCGGGAATAGTCCAGTTATTTTGCGGCTTTGGAGGATAATTCAGAAAAAAAAGGGAGAAAGCATTTGCAAAGTATGAATATACCCTGTGGCTCACAAATAGAATATATAATTTAGATACCTTATTTCACTGGTTATTACAGTAAATATTTTCAGGAAAGGATTTTATAGGAAACTTAACACACAACCAAAAACTCCCAGTCTGTTAAGATGGGTAGATTACTGCTTCATAAATTACAGAGACTGGACACAGCCTGAGGTATTAAGTATTTTTTTTGGACACTAAATGCTTTTGAAGTTTGATATAAACAATGTGGAGTAGTCTCTTTATTTTAATTGTAAAAAACATAAAAGAATTTCATATTAATTGAATGAAATAGTCTTTGAAATATTTCCATGACTAGCAGCTGCTTACTTATTTTTCCCCTTAGTGCTTCATTTTACTTTGATGAAATTAGAGTTAATTTAGTTTAGCAGCTAAAACTATGGTTTAGATACCAAGTGTTTACTTTAACTAAGGGTGAGGGAAAATGTAAATACATGATCCATAAAAATGGCTTAATAATGTTAATTAGCTGTAAATGATGTTTATGCCAATGGAAAAAAAATGAACTGAAAATGATATAGTGCACTGAATTTCTTCTGTGGCACTGCACTCAATATTTTGTGCATGCCAAGTGTTGATACCCTTGATGTCAATATATGTTGCTCTGTTAAAATCTGAGTTTTCAGATTCAACAATTTAAAATAGACATCTATTTTATTCGTTGTAAACAAGTTCATGTGAGCAAGAAAACAAACATTGCCTGATTATGCTCAGCAACATGTTGGCTAAAGCAGATGACTATGATAATAGAGACTGGCGTGGTGATTAGTATTGAGGAAAATCTTTCAGTAGGATAGTGGGTAAATGGACTACTTTCTTGCTAAAGCAACCCTGGGCTAGATTTCCACACTTACAGATATTATCGTTGTTGGCACAGCTGAGTGTGAACAGAAGATACACAGTCCAAGTGGCTTCATCACCAGTCCCAACTGGCCAGACAAGTACCCAAGCAGGAAGGAATGCACATGGGAAATAAGTACCACTCCTGGCCATCGGATCAAATTAGTAAGTGAGCTCATCCTTCTTTCTATTAAGCGGACAGCCCATGTCTTTTATGGCTAGCACACAGAGAGAAATTGAATGTTTATTTAATTGAATTGAATTTCTGGGCAGCTGGAAAAGATTTTCTTTCTTAGGCTTTCCTACTTACACTAAACAAATCCCTGATTTCCCAGTTCAAGGTGATAGTAATGACAGCGATGTAGTCCTCATATGGTGTTCTCATCCTGGATGTTTTGAAAGGCATTATCAGAGTGACTGCAAAACAGTAGGCTCTACTTCCTAACATGTTATTGGTAATGGTATTTCCAAGTGGAGAAAGTAAATAAACAAAAACACATCAGAAATTCAGGAAGAAAGAAATAAAATGACTATTCACTTAAACACAACATAGTCCTGGCTGTGCCAATAATATATACCTCATAAACAAAGCCATATGTATTTTTTATAAAATTAATTTTGTCTTGTGGTTTTTGGAATGTCATTTTTGCATAACATAGTTGCCCTTTGTAGATGGATACTGATATCCTTAGACTTCCCCCAAGTTCAAATATGAATGTAATGTTTGTCCTTCCTCCTAGTCCCTGACTAGGACAGAAGGCAAGACAGAGAATACTGATAATATAAAGAATACTGACAATATAAAGTTTCATTACAGGCTACAGAGTACTCGAAGAGTATAATGCAAAGAAATAATCATACGAATATAGAAGTTTCCTGTAATATGCTATTGTCAGAAGCAGGAGGGAATGCTAGCCAGCAAGGCTCAGGACAGACCAGCAGAGCCATAATAAAGGACAAGACAGTGTCTTGAGAATAAAGCTACCAATATGTGGTAACTTATTAGACCAGTCCAGCCATAAAGTTAATTTGAAAATTTTGTTTTCCATCTTTCTTCTCATTGAATTTGGGGGACAGGGGGTAATAAAAAAAGCATTATTTATATGAGGCATTATAATAATAAAATTAGAATCTCCAAGACATTCATAGGCATTTTATGGAGTTTTTGCAATCACCATATTTGTGATTATCAAATCAGTAAATGAGTTTCCAAACAGAAACATCAATTTATTTCAGCCACTCTTTGGGAAGATGCTAGAGAATAAGATGACAGCATCATGGGACCATGATTATGTGCCAGTCCTGTCCAAGGTCCTGATTGAGAGGACCATTCCGAAGCTTATGGGTTGCATTCTTTTCAGCAGTGTGATTAGCTAGGAAAGTTGGGAAAAGAGATTTTCGGAAGACATTGTTTTGTGTAAATCCACATTTTGTCTGGTATTATATTCCACTGAAGAATTGCCTTTTATATTTTATGTAGGGTATGTCTATGAAGGATCAGTTTTTAAAGATATTTTCATTGGGTATAGAATTCTAGGATGACAATTCTATTTTCCTATCTATACTTTAAATGCCTGTCATTGTTTTCTGACTTCCATGGTTACTCATAAACCTGTTTTAAGATTAAGAAAAAATAATCTTATTTATATTAGTTTATTTTTCCTATTGCTATCGTCAACATTTTTTTATCAGCAGTTTGAATATAATGTATCTAGGTCTGCGTGTGTGTGTGTGTGTGTTTAATTTTGTGGGATTTTTCTTTCAAAATTCTCTGAATTTCTTGCATCTATATTATGATGTCTGTTATGAATTTCTGAAAATTCTCTATCATTATTTCTTCAAAAGTTCTTTTTTTACTATTGTCTCTCCTCTTCTTCTGGAATTTAAATTATATGTACATCCATAACTCTTGGATGTTCTGTGCATTTTTTGTCACTCTTTTAGAGTCAAAATTTGAGCAATTTCTGTAGACCTACCTTCAAGTTCAGCAGTAATTTCTTTGGGAATCTTGAGTTTCCTGATAAGCTTGTAAACACATTCTTTATCTCTCTTGCCATTTTTTTTCATTTCTAGCATTTTCATTTGACTCATTATTATAATTTCCATACTTATTAGTTTTCTTGGTTTGTTGTAACGAAATACCATAAACTGAGTGGCTAAAACAAAAAAGTATTATTTTACAGTTTTGGAGGCTAGAAGTTCAAGATCAAGGTGTTACCAGGGTTTGTCATGCCTCTTCTCCTGGCTTCTGGATGGCCATTTTATTGCTCTATCCTTACAATGGCCTTTCTTCTGTGTACTCACTGCAAAGTAAGCCGCGGTGTCTCCTTATCTTCTTACAAGGACACTAGCCCTGTGGGACTAGGGAATCACCTATATGACCTCATTTAATTTTAATTACCCCCTTAAAAGCCCTATCCCCAAAAGTATTCACACTGGGGATTAGGGATTGAATGTATGGATTTTGGAAGACTGCAATTCAGTCAATAACACCATCTCTTTGCTGAAATTTCCCATATGTTTGCATGTTGTCTGTATTTTTACTAGACTCTTGCATATTAACCATAGTTACTTTAAATTCCATTTCACGGTTTAAACATAGGTGTTATGTCTCAGTCTGTTCTGTTGGTTATTTTCTCTCTTAGTGGTGTGATTTTTTTGTTTGTTTGTCTTGCCTTTTTGTACGTAATAATTCTTATTAACTACCAGACATTATATGGATAACAGTAGAGACTTTATGTCTGGAAGTAGACACATCTCTTCTGAGGCTATTAGCACATGTGTGTGTGTGTACAGCAGGCGCTTTTGTTGAGGAATCTATTCAGTAAAGATGAGTGTGGGTTTTCTAGTTCCTATGATGACCTTCAATGCACCATTGACCTTGAAGTCCTTTTTCTTACACTGGGGGCTGGGATTTCAGAGACATGTTGTAATTTTTCTACTTAAGCTTCACTGTTCATCTTCACCCTGAGTTATTTCCCTCTTCACGCTTTTCCTCCCCCGAGTGGTAGCCTGCAGTTTCTTGTTAGTTGGTACTTGCTGCTCTGGTGGCAAAGGCAAGGGGTTCGCCATTGTCTTACTACAGTTTGCACCTTAGACAGGCCCTGTTGTTTAGGTCTTGGAAGTGGCCTTCCTCAGCAGTCCTGCCTCGTCTCTGTGGCAAATAAACTCCATCTTCTGTCTCTGACTAGTTTTCCATTAGAGTTTCTTCTCCCTTCTCTAGTGGTAGCAAGTCTCTACTGTTGCTGCCTTAGGAACCTGTGACCAACACTTCCCCTGGGAAAGAAGTGGTTTGTTGTGTTTTTTTCTGTTGTTGTTGTTGTTGTTGCTGTTGTGTTACCTTTCCTCTGGCTACAGTGTGTCTGTATCTTTGCCCTGGTGGTGACAGGGTTTTCTTTCCCTTTCCCAGAGGCTTAACGTTTGTTTTCCGGAGAAAGGCTGCATCTGGGCTTCATGTTTTTTCTCACAGAGGTGACCACTATCCTCCTTTAAGTCTGCAACACTGAAGAAAGCACTTGGCCTTCTCCTGCTCTGCCCACAGATTCTCTCATAAGCAGGAGATTGGGGTCCATGAAAAAGAGACTGCAAGTGGGTACAAACTCCCCATATGTCCTCAGCTCCCAGGGGCTCTGGACTCTTATCCTTGTGCACACCTCACCTCTATCAATTGATTACAAATTATAGCTAAATACTTCTTCCCTATTATATGGCACCCAGCATCTCTTCCTTTCATGATCTGCCACTGGTGAACCGGGGCTTGTGTCTCCTCTCTCCTCGGAGGAGGCTGGGATTCAGTGAATTGCATATTAATTTGTTCACTAATGGTGTCAGCTCTTTGATGTATTCAGCAAAGTGATTTTTAAAGTTGAGATGGGTTTTTCTTGTTGTTAGGGTAGAAGCAACACTAGTTCCGGCTGTCTGTATCCAAGGGAAAATAGAACTCCTGATCTAACCCCATTTTAAAAATGATAGTGTTTTATTCTTTATTATGTACCCTTCAGCTTATGGAACACCCTTTCCAGTTCTAGGACAGTATATTCCTTCACAAATTGCATGCTTTAATATTCATGTAAATATTCCACTTGAAGGTCAGAACATAAGGCATGTTTGTCAACAATGGTCATGTTTGCTCATACCCTAAGAAGGAATTTCTCAGAAAGAAAACAAAAGCTCTAGGCAAACATTGATTGTATTTGACTTTGTGATCTTTGTGGAGTAGTTGTGGTCTAAAGCCAGGCTTTCTCAAATATTAGCCTTCATCAGAATTACCTGGATAGCCTGTTGTTGTTTAACTTTATTATTTTTGAGAGACAAAGAGACTGAGCAGGGGAGCAGAGAGAGAGAGAGGCAGAGAGAGAGAATCTCCATGTGGGGCTCAAACTCCCAAACCGTGAGATCATGACCTGAGCTGAAACCAAGAGTCAGACACTTAACAACTAAGCCACCCAGATGCCCTGGACAGTTGCTAAACACACATTACTGCCACCTTAAAGTTTCTACCTAGAAACATAATACTAATTCCCATTCCCTTATCCCATTAATCATGTTCTTATAAAACCTGACTCTGAAGAGTCTCAAAAGACTCTAAGAGTTAGGATCACTAGAAAGTGTGTCATAACATTAGCTACCAACTTCAAGTGATATTTTAGTTCTGTAGTTTTTAATTCTTATGATTTCAATATTATTGCTTATGTTTACTAGCATTGTCTCCTGCTTGTTAGATAACTGCTAACTAATCTACTTTAAAATTGAAATCACCATCTGTAGCCAATATCAACCAATGGACATTTGGCCAACACTGTTTATAATTCCAAATCTCACCATTCAGTCACTTTCCTGTATAGTTAGACATTTATTATATAGGAGATTTTCTTATCAAATAGATACATTGTTCCAGATAAATGCAGTTTGCTTGGTTCCTTTGAAATTCTTAATTTTCATGCAAGAACTTAATCCCAAACTGAATTTGGAAAATGAATCCCAAGGAAACTTAGAAAATTATTACATCTTTCAATGCCCTTAGGCCAAGAACGCTCATAGATACTTGGTTACAAGCTAGTCTCTTTGTTAGGGCTAAGGCAAAGAGAACAAGTAAGGAAAACATTTGATCTCTCTCTGTGCATCATGGAGCTTTCTTTATGACTCAGATTGTTACCCTTCTTTAC